GAAACCTGGTGTTCTTAGGCACCAAAATAAACATCGCTTGCTCACATCACGCTGATGAAGAATAATAATAATTGAGTTCAACATACACTCACATACAATCGAACAATGACGTTTTGTAGCAGGAAAGATCTATAAATAAATTGCACTAGTTCGAATACATAAATAAATGGCACGTTTGGAGATATCTATACACACTAATCTTATCGAAATTGTAAACAAACATCAGCTTTCAATTGGATTGAAACCATACTTGAATGGGATGATAGATTCATGGGATTATATAAGTGACAAATAACATTGTACTCATTTGGAATTAGTCAATGTTCGACATATTGCAAACATGAATCCAATTAGGGTAAAAAACATCAATCAAATTATTTCAAAAACCACTAATTATTCAGCTCAAACTTCAAAATCCTCATGAAATTTGCACCTATTCACCAGAAGACTTTCCTTCAATAGTTTTCCAAATATGTTCTACTTACGTTTAATTTGATAATATGCTCTTCATTTCGATGATATGGTATTTTTTCGTTTTCATTCTGATCGACCAGATATCTAGAGGGTTAAGAAATGAAATTGGTACTTCATGTCCTAAATATTGACATTCAACACTACAATCAATCAATCGATCTAAAATGTACGTTATTGTCTAAGAATAAATTCTTATTGACAAATCGTAAAATCAATTATGAATTATACACAAACATATTCATATTCATAGTTATTTTTATTTTTACCTTACACTAAATTCATCATAATGAATGTTATTGTATATTCAAATCACTGTCATTATGAAATTCTTGCAGACAATAGTATGCTTCAGTAGAAAGTATGTTTTCAACTGACTTTCGAAACTTTGGTAAGTCTGACGTCAGTTTTGAGGTTGTTGGCAAATGATTGTACAAACTTTTATTCTCATACATAACTGAATTTTTCAATAATTCCGATTTCGGTAATGCTGATATATTATTTTCTTGTCGAGTATTATATGCGAGATTATATGCATTGGAATGTACAGTAGAATAATGTTTCTTTTTCATCAAAAACACGGTTTCTAGAACTAAAATGCTACATTTTGAATGTAGTTCATAACAGCTCTTACTTTCTTGAGAAATAATCCACGTTGAAATATCTGACAAAACAAAACTATACTGTTGGAGAATATTCTGTTGTATATAATTATTACCATGTATGGTTGTTTCAATTTTGATAAGTAGTTCCCAAGATAGAATGAAAATAAAGCGAAAATCAGTAAGAAGCAGAGTCGTTCTACTGCAAAAATCTTAACAATTCTAAGCCACTTATTAGCCACTGTATTAGCTGAAACAACTACTTTCCTGATCACCAATACTTATTATCAATTATTTGAGATGTTTGTGATTATCTCCGTATTCTTCTATTATATAATGGGAATTTACTTCGAAATGAGAAGATATGTATACAGAAACAATATTGAATGAAAAAAACGAGTAGATATCATACAAGGAGATGAAAATTCATATATAACAATATTCCCTTTGGTTTGAGGCCACATAGGGTCATTGTAACACCAACTATTCCATCCCACCCTGTACTGATTTTTTTATCACTGATCCTGATTTCTTATATGTTGTCACATAGTCGCATTATTTCAATTATTCACAATGAAGTTGCACACCCTAGTATTTCTTTCAATAATGAAATCCGGTACCAACCTTCGGAAAACAACGAACCGAAAGTCATCGTGATCTGAATTCTGGCTTTCACATAAAAAGTATTACCAATGACAACAGTATTCACATTCATTAAAGATAATAGTTCGACTTGGTTCCCAATAATTCCTTATTGAATACTTATATACTTGCAAGATGATCCAGTATCGAAAATATCCCAGTATTCCTAATAATAATCGAGATATCATTTCAGTCTAAATCTTTTTGGCCCTGGCTACAGCGTAATGTTTAGAGTTTCCAGAAATAATATGCGAGAAGGAGGATTACAATGTCAATCAACTTCCTAACGACAGTATCGTCTGTCATCTCCATCGTCAAATGCTTGTTCCATCTAGTTAAAATGCGAATATTCAAAGATACTCTGATTATCTGATTCTTCAGTTATGTATCGTGTTTTTTTTTAATGACTCGGCCGTTACTTGATGAAAATCCATGGCAAATGTAAAAACTTCACAAACGATAAGATTTTCACAAAATTCTCAAACACGCACGACATGTTTCGCTAACACAGTAGCTTCGTCAGGTGATAAACTGGTACAATGAACTAAACTAAAGTTGGCTTGCTTGACTTTAATATATCCTACTTTCCCAACCTGAAGGATTAGTTACTTGTGGACAGGTACGATAAACCTCCATTTTCGGAAATTAGGCACAATATCTACATTAAAATACGAAATTCTGGATTAACTTGAAAGAGTTGATAGCAAATACATATTATTACTTACTAAGAACCCAAATGCAACAGTGGTGAACTATTGAGGTCTAATTGATTAACTAAAATGTCAAAATTTTTTAGTTTGTTGATTTCTAATGATTCAAAATGATTGAGTTCCAGTCCTTTATTTTCTGCGTGTAGAATTTCGAAATTATCATCAAAACTATGGTTTTCTTTCAATATATGGTTGGCGTATGTTGAATTTCTTTTCTTTTTTAAAATATTCATCTTATGTTCATGAATGCGCTGATCAAGCGTACGACCTGTCTGACCGATATATACTTCAGCCTTAGGACAAGATTCACATTTGAGTTTGTATACCCCTAATTTCTGGAATTCAGAAGTTTTGTCTTTATTATATTTTATAAACCTTCCCAACGTGTTATTTGTTCTATATGCTAATTTTTCAGTTGATGATCCGAAATAGGTTAAAATTCTATAATTTTGATTATCATTTTTGATGGATAAACTTCTTGAATAGCTTTATTATGGAGTTTTTCAGAAAGAATACTGTTCATCAAATTAACGTTGTATCCGTTGTTGACTGCAATCTGTTTTATGATATTGAGTTCTATATTGAAATTCACTTCCGATAGAGGGACATTCACTAGCCTGTGTATCATACTATTATATGCTGCAATTTTATGTTGATAAGGGTGTGTTAAATTATTATGAATAGTGATATCAGTGTGGAAAGGTTTATGGAAAATTGAAGAATCATGTTTATCATTAATTTTACTTATTGCCGTGTTGTCAGGTGAAATGAAATTTTGAATTTTATTTATCAAATCATAGGAATTCCTCAAGCTGAATTTTGATTGGAAATTACAATAGTTTTTCATTAACGTTATTGATTTTTCTGATAGTTTGGCTGAAGGAGCTGTGACAAATGAAACTACCGGGCGAATAGAATGACATTGTTCGTGTTCTTTAATGAGAGAATACCTCGGAGAATACAGTTTTGGAGGTTAAGAATTTGTTTGGTACAGATAGTACCCCAAAGAGTGGACTGTATATACTTTATATTTTTCATCACCTTATGAAGAAAAGACCAAACTACTTTTCCTTTCAACTATATTCCCAATAACAATAACAATAAAACCAAATACCAATACATAAGCGACGGTACACCAAACTCCGTCGTCTTACGTTTTCTTCTACCCAACCACTCGCCCTTCAAGACTCTTAAGAAGTAAAAGCTAAGGGTCCATCTGTCTCTAAGTGGAGAAAACAGTGGTGTCACATTCAACTTGATATAATGTCTCTGTGTCGTTCCTAACAGAATTCATGATAGTAAATCTGAATTTTTCGGTTTCTTCAAAAATTGATTTGGAATTTTTCAAGAAGTTCTTTTATCTGTGATTGGTAAGAATCAGTAGGGTCACGTTTCAATATGCTAAATTCTCCTAAATTAAAAAAATCAAGGTTTTTTTTTACCATAATCATTCCTGTCAATAGCAATCAATAACTGTGTTCCTTCCATCTGCTCTAGTAAATATGGTATCGTTTTGGGTTGATTTCATTTTTATCGATTTGACTATGTTCATATCATTCGTAAAACAACTATCTTTCAAAAATTCGGATTTAATGATGTTAGAGGCTATATATTTGTTATTAATATTGTTGACAGTGCCTTTCAAAGTTCTATTTCTGCTTCGAACTATACCTTTTCAACTTCAATTTCGGAATCGGTAAGTTATATTTCGGAAAAAGTAATCTCGATTTCAGAATTGGTTAGTTCGATTTCAGAAATGGTAAACTCAATTTCAGAATCGGTGAGATGAATTTCAGAAAAAGTCCATTCAATTTCAAAAATGGTAAGTTGTATTTCAGAATTGGTAGGTTCAATATCATAAAAAAAAATCCTTATATTTGTTCGAAATGTTTCCAATTGCATGTGAGATTAACAAACCATATTTAAAATATTCAACTTTTCAAAAACAATTCAATCCACAGATGCCTTCCATCTGAATCGCTGGAAGATAGTGGCGTTGCACATGATTATAAGAATGCAAACACATCTGAGGTGTTATCATGTTCATTGAATGATCTGCACATTCTTCAAGACATCGCAGTCTGAATTCTATCTGGTTGAGCAATATGTTCGGATCTCCAGCTATGACCCTTTGGCGATGCTCTTGCAAGAAGCTCTTCACTTTTGACTTGAAGGCACCCCATATATTATGTTCAATCTGATTCAACATAGGGCTCTCAAACACCCTTCCATCCACTGTAAACAGTTCTCTTTTGCAATTAAAAACATGTCAAACATATAAAAGGATTTCATCTTCTGAAATTGAAACTACTAATAATAGTTCGGAAATACAACTCACCTTTCTGGAATTGAATGGACTTTTTCTGAAATTCTTCTCACCGATTCTGAAATTGAGTTTACCGTTTCTGAAATCGAACTAACCAATTCTGAAATCGAGATTACTTTTTTCGAAATATAACTCACCGATTCCGAAATTGAAGTTGAAAAGGTATAGTATAGTAAATGAAAGGTTTCACTGAAAAAAGCCCATGCTAGATATGCAGAAAAAAATCTGAATCTTGAAGTATGAACTCACCTAGCTTTGCGAAATAATTTTCCATCTTTATCTCGTTGCAGCACGAACGGCAGCCTGTTTGAGACCACGATCATGCTTCCTGATGAAGCCACCACATCTGTAACCATTTCGGAAATCAGTTATTGTTATTTTCGGCGATTGTTTTTTTATTGAAAAACACATTCACTTCGACTTGAACGTTCGATAAAGCATGGTGGCGACAATAACAAAGCAAGTCCTCGTATCCGCGGTCATACTATTATGCTCATCATTTTTTCCCTTGTGAAAATCGAAAGAACAAAGTCGAGGAAAGGTCAATGGAGTTTATCGATGACCGCTCGTTTGTTTATAGATTAAAATTATTACAAACAATGATTCGATGAGTCGATCCCTAACTTCTGACACTCAATAAAAAATGATCGTCCAGAATGTATGGGGTGTACTTGGATTTTTGCTGATTCGATATTGTTTTCATTATGGGTCAGGGTTATCAACAAGAGTTTCGAATCCACGCTCTGAGATTTTCTAAATTGCATGCAATATGATTTCAATCAGTTATAAAAACTAATATTCCACCGGTTCCTCAAGAGGTATCAATTCGCGGTTTCGACAATCTTTCTTCTCAGTTGATGCTCTTCTTCCATATTAGAGTAAAATAAATATATGGTTACATTCGGAATTATCGAAAACAAATGGAAAATTGTCTGATTTTTCAAACGATGCCATCTAGCGGCCACCACAGGACTCAAATAGACTTGATTCGTGATTTATCTGGAAGAACTGAAAAACCCCTTCATAATAATAATAATAATAATATGTTTATTTGTGGCAAATTAATAAAAACAGTGTATAAAATAAATCTATAAAATAAACATGGGAGTAATGCCAAAAGTACGATGTACTTGAATGGCTGATAGTGGTAATCATCATTCCCTCTAAAAGAACAGTGTTCTTGATAACGAGGTTGTGATCATCATTCAATATTCACCAACTTAGTACATTCATATATTCAAAGATATTGTCTTTATATTATCAACAAAGCAGAAAACTAGAAAAAAAATAATAATAGATAATATAAATAGAACTATAATATCCGAATCAACATTATATGGACAATATACATACAAACACAGTAAAAAGGTAAGCAATATTTTTTCCATCATTATTATTTTGGAATGAATATTTGTTATGATTTCACATCAATGATTTCATGTATAATCATTCTAGGTGTTTCATGTAACCATTTCTTTATTCTTTTTTTGAACTTGAACGTCATCTCAATGTTTTTTATTTCATTTGGAAGGAGATCGTAGATTTTCAGAGCTATATAGGAATGGTTTCTCAACCCAATAGCTTTTTTTGCAATTTTTTTTTCGGTGATAGATTTTGCTCCTGGTATTATAAACGTGGTCTCTATATCGAATATTGATTTGAGGCCAAGATCGCTGAATTCCGTTTCACCAAACTGTAGTAATACTAGTTTTTTCAAAGTACCATTCATCCTTTCCTCCCTTTTTCATTTGAAGAGCTAGCGAAATGATTGGAAATCAACCCTTGAACATGGAAAAAGTGTTTTTGATTCATCGTAATATATAAAATTGTCATAAAAACCCGTTTATTAAACTGGCCAATGCGATTACGCCCCTCTAGCGGCTGTCCTGGAAACTTGAAAATAGTTTCCAGAGATTTCTCTTGGCCACTTTCATAATTCATATTTTTTTCGAAACCTGTGCGGCAAATAGTTTCTGAGATGCCGCCGGCGTCCTTTCTTAGTGATTCACCCGGTACATGTGTACTATGCATGGTCGTTTTGGAAATGTTAGGAATTTCTCTGAATTTCGATCAGGGGTGTGGAAAATGGGTGAGGCTACAGGCGTTTCGTCTCCCATTTTTTTTTTCATGCAATTTTGCGCAGTGTGAGCAGGAATTAGTACAATATACATATATTTTTTTTATTGAAAAATGATACTTTTGTTAATTTTCAATAGCACTCAACTCAACTCAACTCAACATCATTTTTTGATGAAAAGTACCCTGTTTTCATTATCTGAACGTGATTTTCGACCCAGAATATGAAAAGAAAATAAGTAGAATAATTTCAAGAATATTATTATAGTAGATGTAATATTCTCTCTGTGATAGTAGGTACCCTAATGGGAAAAAGTTATATTTTCATCACGCAGCAGACTTTTGAAATCAATTAATTTCGAAAATGATTGGTGCTATATAAACTGAATAGGAGTATTATTTGCAAAAAAATTATGATATTCTCATATTTCCTGGTCAACCTGCCGAAAATTGCATCGATAAAAAGTTTGGGGACGATCAAGATTTCGGGAAATTCTCAACATTTCCAAATCGAACATGAAAAGTAATATGCAGGGTGTTTGGTTCACCGACATATATGAGGAATGATTTGGTTGGTTATGTGATTTTGAACAAATTTGACCATATATACTATAATACAAAGTGTTTCACTTTTCGAGAAATCTTAGCTTGAAAATTCAAAATTGGATGTATTGAACCAAAAAATGTTTTCATCAAATGAGATCCCATTTCGTGTTCAATAGCGATGAAATGCGTATTCAACTTTCTAAGAAAAAAGAGATTTAATCAGATAAAATGTTCGAAAGAACGATGATACTTCGAAATTTGAAACACTTTGTATAATAGTATATATATGGTGAAATATGTTCGAAATGTCCTCCCCCCTTTCGGTGAACCAAACATCCTGTATATGTACATAATTTAGTTATCTCACCACAAAGGATTTATAACTCCCCAGGAGCTCATGTTTATATAATTTATTTTTACTATTTTTGTTCCTACAATCTGTGATTGGAATCTGTCTATATAATTTTGGGACACCCTGAATATGTAGCTATCGAGATATAAGCCGATGAAGAGCATAACCGTTTTTTGTCGGAACAGAAACACCGATTCCACAAGGTCATATACTAGGAAAATATTCACCATCAATTACCCATACCTATATAATATTTCAGTACTTGCATCTTCCTGCGGCGATGGATTGTGTGTACATAGAGTATTCCTAGATATCCTGACAACTAACACCAAACACCCTGTAGAGCGCAACAAAACTTATCGTCGATAATAATATATCACGCGTGATAGTGTGATCGGTTTTGATTGCAGTCACTGTTAAGTACTTCCAATATTGCAACATTATCGTTGGGGGACAATCAGATTAAACTAGATAATCAGTTGGCTGATAAAAATAATTGCATGTGGTGCTATGAATAACAGTGGAGCGAATTCATTATGACATTCATACTATAAGATCGAGAAAATCGACTAGAAACATTGACTCAATATAAATGTAATGTAATGTATGACAAAAATACATTACAAGGTATCAAGTTGGAGTTATATGATAATCACGATTATACAACCGTTGTCAATTGTTCGAATACATCATGAAACATGGATACACACTATAGAATCATTCATATAACTTGTCAACTCAAATATTTGAACATTCTCAAAATGGGCAATTATGGCTAAGTGCCAATACTGTAGCAAAATTCATCACACCTGAGAAATGGCAGCAATTTTATATCGATTCGGTGCTCTTAATTCAAATGGCAGAGCATTTGTCAAACTCTTCAGAGAGAAGAATATCTGATGAAAAATGATCTAAAGACAGAATTGACATAGCAAAAGCTACAACACGTGGAGATATAATTGGGTGAACTATATAAGACAACATACTAAACTTGACTTTCTCGTCAATAATAATTCTGCACGTGGTTTCATATGTATGTAAATACACCACTATGCAATTCTGACCACTCACTCAGCACCACAACCTGCTCATTTTCCACACAATCACTTATTCTTTCATGACATTAATGGAACATCGTAGGAAATTCACTATTCCATCAATATAATACGACAAATTTCCATCACTAGTAAGATACGAGCCAGACGATTATTCAGCAAAATGTGTTCCTCTGTAGGAAGACTAAACTTTGAAATTATAGTCACCTAGAGAAGTAGATAGTCTAGTAACTCTAGTGTGATCCAAACCATTCAAAAGTATCTATACTGAAACATCAAAGTGCTGATAAATCAATTGAATAGTTGTAGATTCTCATAAAGTAACTGGAAGTGTGGTTATGAGCAATCTTTATAAGTATGTATTATTCGAATTCCTGGTAAACCTGCTTTATGAATGGATTCCAAATAAAAATTAACTTGACATCTAAGGAATGTTGTAGAGTTCCTTCTGATTCAACATTTGGTGGCTGCTAAATTCAAAAATTGGTGAATACGCAATATCAATGACACGTTCTAGCTGTGATTTTTGTAAGCATAAATAGTCAATATATGATTGAGTGACTTTTAGTGCATAACCACAAGGATCAGAACGGGTTCTCAAAACACTCGTTCAATGATCATTCATCATCAAATTCCTAATGATTCCATGCAGAGTAAAATACTCTTCACAAATATTATTCAAGATGTCCTCGCTGATATCGAAGACTAAAGATGAGAACTCGGATGAGAAGTATCAGATACTTCAACCCATTAATTTCCAAATAATCCCTTTCAACAACTCAGAATTGAAATGAAGGTCGTTTCATCTAAAAAGATTCGATAGTTAATCTAATGCTGAAATCACTTGTGTCTGCACAAGTGATTCTTCTTCAGATTCTTCTTCAGATTCAAATGATCCTGTTTCAAGAGATTGTAAATTGCCTGGTCACTAAGCAAATTTGGGAGCTATGTTGTCACAGTAACATGTTATATTGCTGCAACGCTACATTATCGAAATTCACTTTTGCAATATTGCTGAACGTCCGTTGTAGTAATTGCTTCAACATAGATTCCAACTTTGCTTAGTGAGTGAGGAATGTTTCAATTGATCGATCAAAATGTAAACACCCATTCATTTGGTTGATTTTGAAACTCACCAATCATTTCGAGACAAAGATCACCCAACACCTCAATCAGCGACAACTCAGGAAATAATGGAAATGAAAGGAAATCCAAACTGTGAGATAAACGTATCGAGCAGTTGCTTTCCTATCGAACCATGTGATGAATCTTGGAGATATAAGCTCATGCTCATTTTTTATATTGATTAAAATCAGC